CATTTGGGTGGAGTACACCATGCAGTCCTGGAAACAAAACAGCAAAACGCAGTGTTGGCTTTGGTCAGGACCGCCTCTCGGGGAGCTGCCAGCCTTACTGGGCTGACTGCCTCTTGGGGCTGAGCGCTCTTGGGGCGCCTCTCTGGGCTGAGCGCCTCTCTGGGCTGAGTGCCTTTCTGGGCCAAGCACCTCTCTGAGACTGACCATCTCTCTGGGCTGAGCACCTCTTAGGGCTGACCATCTCTGGGCTGAGCGCCTCTCTGGGCTGACCATCTTTCTGGGCTGACCACCTCTCTGAGATGACCATCTCTCTGGGGCTGACCATTTCTTGGGGCTGAGCGCCTCTCTGGGCTGACCATATCTCTGGACTGACCGCCTCTCTGGAGCTGACCATCTCTCTGGGCTGAGCACCTCTCTGGGCTGACCATCTCTCTGAGATGACCATCTCTCTGAGGCTGACCATCTCTCTGGGGATGACCATCTCTCTGGGCTGAGCGCCTCTCTGGGTTGACCACCTCTCTGAGGTGACCATCTCTCTGGGCTGACCATCTCTCTGGACTGACCACCTCTCTGGGGCTGACCGCCTCTCTGGGGCTGACCATCTCTCTGGGCTGAGCATCTCTCTGGGCTGAGCGCCTCGCTGGGGTGCCCCTCCATTGAGAAGCCTGAGCGTAAAGGTCTCCGGGCCTTGCAGGGACACCATCTGCCTCACCCTGAACTACACCCACTGCGGCCTGTGAGCTCCTCACCCGCTTTCATGTTGATGGATACGTGGCAGGCACCCTGGCAGCCTTTTTCGTGCCAGAACGAAACAAATTGGGTCTGTTCGGTCCTATTCCTTGCGCCAGCTGGAATTTTGCTCACCATGAGGGCCAGCCCAAGGGGAAGGACTTCCTTTTGTTCTGCAATGTCTCCCAAGAATATTGTAACAAGTTTGAGCTCTGAAATCAGAGAAGCAAACAAGCAACAAAAACAAAACCCAAAACAACAATAATAACAAAACCTGGCATATTTTTTAAATATATTTTTATTTCGGAGAGAAAGGGAGAGGGAGAGAGAGATAGAAACAATGATGAGCGAGAATCACTGATCAGCTGCCTCCTGTATGCACCCGACTGGGGATCAAGCCCGCAACCTGAGCATGTGCCCTGACCAGGAAATCGAACCTGGGACCCTTCAGTCCCCAGGCCGACGCTCTATCCACTGAGCCACACCAGCCAGGACTTATCTGTTTTCTTGACAGGTGAGGCCAGGTATTTCCCAATACCTCATCTTGAGTAAGAGTTTTGACCTGCGGCCTCTTGCCAAGATTTTGCCATTCTTTCCTGACAAACAACAGACTCTGTTGTATAACCTGCATCATAACAGGGTTGTGTTAGCAACTAAGCGTCCCCAGTCGCTTGCAAGTAACACACATCAGTCAGCTGTCACCCGAGTGTCACCCAAGACCCCTCCTGGCTCCTGCAGCCTCAGACCCCACAGCCTCCCCCACCCC